CCCATGCCAGGAGTATGTCCAGGCGGGGGGGCTAGTGTGATGCCAGGCTCGAGTGGTCAGGATGAGAATCTGCAGCTCGATCCCAATGTTGATCCAAGATGGCTTTTTGAACTCGGTAATCCCAACCTTCTAGGCAACGGAATCGCCGCTGGACTAGAGGATTGGCCGTTTCAGGGGGTTGATGCTGCCTTTTTTGACAGTATGATCAGAGGGTTCGAAGGTGGTGATGATGATTATGGTGGAGGAAATGTGCCATGAATGCACTTTGATCTTCCTTCACGAAGATAGGATACGAAGGGGAAAATTCTACCAGGGAAATGCAAGAGTCGAACTCGTTGACCAGGAACCGTATTCGGAACAATTCGTCTATCGACATAATTCCAATATCATTACACGTCAAGTAACTAGAGCATAAGGGGTATCGAAACACTCATCCCAGTCTTTCTTCCCAGACGACCAAAACTTCTCTAGAATCTCTTTGGTCGCTAGAGGTAAATACGCACCAAGATGTGCACTCTCATCAGCTAAACGCCTAGCAATGAACGACCTCGCCGCCGCGTTCCCCATCTTCGCCTCAAACCCAGCAACAATCATCGGCCACATGACGCAACTCCTCAGAACCTGAGAGCCGGCAGCCTTCTCGAGGAGGGCCATGAGATTGTTGCCATGTATCGTCTTCACGGCCCGCCAGCCAGCGGACGCGGGTATCACACAAACACTCTGCAGAGACGCGATGGCGAAGACCACTACGGCGGACTGATACACCTGTGCCATTGTCAAGAATTGCTCTTGCGATTCGGTCTTGGCGGTCGACCAAGTTTCTGGGGAAAAGTCTATGATGCGCTCGAGGAGGTCTTCGGCTTCTGTCTGGAGAGCGTCGAGCGTGTCTGACGACTCTGGCTGTGTTGCGAGGTATCGGAGACGGTTGACGCAGATGATGTCGATGAAGAGTTGTACGGGACAGGGGAGGAAGGGGTAGTATCCTGTTTCGTAGATTTCTTGAGTGAGATCTCTCATTTCGAAATTGAGCAGCGGTGATACTTGGTCGTATGCCGGGCTTGTTGTGTTTGCCAAGTTCTCGATGCTGTGGGTGGGCGTGCTATCAGTGATCTGCACTTACGACAATAACGTTGACATTGAGAATGGTCCTTACATCTTGCAGAAGAGTATGACAGTCTTGTAGCCTGGTGCGGCATCGCAAACACTTCTCAGGCCGCCTCGCATCTCGATAATGGCCATGAAGCCGTTCAGATGATGCCGCCAGTTGGAAGCCGTTACTGATCCCATAAGCTGCACACAAACAGATTAGGCCCAAAGAGTCAAAGTTCCCCGGCTAGCAAGTGAGTATGGGGGGAGAAGGGGTGAGATGAAAGGGGGCCAAGACACGCACATCTGCGTACAAGAACACAATAACCGCCGCCATTGTGTAGTCAGAGATTCTCCTCTTCTCATTTTGGTGGCTGATCTCTCTGTTCAAGGCCTGGATTGCCGTACATCGATGCTGATGGAATCGGGCCCGAACTTCCGCGTTATGCAAGTCGTTTTTCCTCGTGGACAAGCTCAGTAAGCGGTGATTGATGGCCATGGCAACTAGAGTGTGTTGGATAGTAACTCCCATGTACTGAATGTACGACACGGGTACAAGCCAGGGGCTGTTGGTCAACTGATTCGCTGCAAAGAATGGGTAGATCTGCTCGTTCCCTGTTGCAGATCGAGCATACATCAGTTTCTTGGGTTCTCACACAAGACAACGCCCCGATCCAGTAACGGAGTGTGGTGACTTACAGTAAAGTGTAGCCTCAATAATGTCACAAGTCTCATCTCTCAATTCGTGACCGGGAAAAAGGTGCACGAGGTGGTCGGTACGAGTATTCGATACCTCGGATTCCATAGCCTTTGCAAGTTCTGACCCGCTCTGACCTTTGGCACTCTCCTTTGATGAATCGTCGTTATTCTTCTTGTTGGTAGGCGGGCTTTTCCGTTTCCACGTCCGGGTTTTGACCTTGCCAGGAGCAAGCCATACCAACGGCTTCTTGTCCTCGTAACCGGGACACACAACGCCGCTAGTCTTGCACTTTGCGCAGACGGGACGCGCCGAGTCGCAGACTAGTCGGCGCCGTTGACATTCCCAGCATTGTCTTCTTCCGCTATTAGGACCAGTCTGTGAATGTGCTTGTGCCTCTGTCTTCGGCGGTCCACCCACAGAGAGCGCCAATTGTCTAGAAGTGGAAGTCATCGTCTGATTAAGGGGAATTTCCCGTCTCAACGGCTTATCAAACGGCGTTACGTTTTGGGCTATTGGAAGTAGACGGAGTTACGGGTTGGCACATCAATCCTGCAACCCGCTGGCTCAGGTCGAGTTTAATACATGTGGTGCGGAGGTGAGCTGGGGCTACTTAGGAGGTCAACCACGGCTAACCGGCGACGGCGAGCAGTGCCTGACCAGGGGCGCAGTGCATGTCTTGGCCACTTCAATAGCCTAATGAGGTAAAGCGCGGGACATTCCTTCGAGATCATCGCCTCTCTAGCGCGTCAGCAAGGCAGCCCTACGAGAGACGAGAGAGCGATGTTAAGTGAGCGGTGCGCTCATGGATGAGTATAATGATATCATTGGACGATCTGCATGGTCTCACTCTAAAGCTATGAGCTATGAGGCGTGCAGAACGAGAGCAACTTGTTGGAAATTTGGAGAACGTGTACTAAGCCAATCAGACCATAAGAGACATACTCATCGTAAGCAGCCGAATGAATCTCAGGGAACACGTAGCACGTGAATTAAAGCTACAAAATATTTACAGAATGTCAAACACATAGCGGTCGCGATAAGAAGACTGCGTCAGTATCCAGGCTTCACAGAATACTTTGTGACCACGACTCCCCTGGGCTGTTCTTGTGCAACTTCACAAGTTGGCTCTTGAACTCGAGTTTGACTAGTATGCTCATCTCAAGTTGTTAGATTGATAAGAAAGCAACTGGAGAGTTAAACCATCGGAAGCCGGAAATACCTACTTCCGAGCACTTGCGTCGATGGTTTAGTGGTAAAATTCTCCGTTGCCATCAAGCAGCGTCGGGGAGCCGGGGGTTCGATTCCCCCTCGACGCATTCTTTTGAAAAAATTGAGCTATCCAGCAGTAGCCAGTATGCTTTTTACACCTTCCAATTGCTAATTAGGGAGATCTGAGAACTGCATAAGGTATGTAGAGCCACCTTCAATTGACTCAAATATTGAAGTGGACGATTGAATCGTCTCTTTAGCTATAGATACGTAGGAACCTTACCTTGGTGGACATCTCATAGGCAGACAAGCGCAGGCCTGAGCCTACCAGTTTACCAACTATACGCTCAGCATAGAGTGCAGTTTTTATTGACTTTCATGTCGAATTCCGAACTCCAGACGTTGTATAGGATTTTGGTGGCGAGTCGCTTTCCTCGGTCTCGGTTCTGTGAAGTGCCCACCGGCCAAAGAAACTTGACAGCTTCTATCATGCATGCGATTGTCCGAGAGACTACAGTAAAATGTTGTGAACCATACCCGACTCAAAGGTTACCGTGGAGCCAGCTTGCTGTACATCAAGAAGCCAATTTCACGCGTCGCGAACAGCTTCCAGCGTCAGGGTCCAACTCCTGATCGAGCAGAAATTAGGACTGCAACCATGTCAACTTGGTGGGTTGCACCGGTTGCCGGACACGTCGGAGACTAGCGACCGACTAATGGACGGGTTGAGAACCCGTGCTACCTTCACGTCGGTAGACGCGCTCACTTCTCACATTCGTGACTGGAGTAAAGAAACAATCCGAAGCTTTCAAACCACTCCGTACGCCGTCAGGCACAAACGACGTTGAAGGTTCCGTGTGCCTTGACTATCCGTCGATTAGACTTTGGGATCATGTTCAAGGCCACATCAGTGCAACCACAATGAGAGGATGCGGGACGAAAGGTAATCATTTACTCATCGTTGGCAAATAATCACTTCCGCCGAGGGTGTGCAAAGGCCTTGGGGCTGGAGCATAGTCAGAGTTGAGATGAACTCTGAATCTTGAGACTCCTGAACCTCCACCATCCATTCATCTCCCCACGCGCCTGAATGCAGTCATCACCATTAGGACACTGCAACCAGTGATCCCCAGGGACTGATTTTCGTCAAGTCGAGGACCGTGCTCTGTCGCAAAGTCCGACTTGAACCTTGTCCCCTGCAGCCCTGCCCTGGCCCCGTGGATCCCTGCAAGTTGTCGACCGGTGAAGCGGGGGGCATTCTCTTTCCTCGCTCCCGAGTTCCCCCCAGGGCAAAGACCGCCTAGGAGTCCGAGAAGAATGTTTGCCCAGAGGGTTCGCGCGCTCTTCAAACGGAATAGCTTCTCGACACCTAGGCACGTCGCGCAGGCTGAGCGATCCTACCGGAAGAGCCGTAACACCAGCCGCTGCAGGCCATGGGCGTTTCTCCAGCGTCTGGAAGGTAGATTTCACCGAGGGGCTGAAGGAAAAGCCGTTGTCGAACCCACTCGCCCCGATAAAAAGAGACTGGGATGCTGGGACTTTGAAATTACGCAAGTCGTCCTGCGCCGCATTGCGGATATTCCGTATGCATGCATGCACGCTTTGACTGGAGGCAACGATAATCCAGCCAAAGTTCCGTGGCCAAGACCTCGGGTCCGAGTCTTCTCGTCATCTGGTCTAATATCACACTTAGAGCTGAACAAGAGAAGGCAAAGAGGATTGTACGCCACTGCTGTTTGGCGTGTGACATCTTCATTATTTCATATCCCATCGTACTATATATAAGCCGCTGTGCAACGATACGCGTAAAAAGGAACAATCGCAGGGCAGGGAAGCCGGGCGGTAGCTTCACGAATCGTGTATATGATACGACTTCACGCACCCACTTTGGTCTTCCCTGCCGGGTATCTGACGACGTTTTCAAGAGGCTCCCCGTTCCCCATCAACACCGTAAATGCGTAAGTAAGCCCATTTCGAGCTGTGTGTGCTTGCTGTCCACTGTCGCTCATAACGACGCCTGCCTGGTCGTCCTTCTTATCGCTGCCGCGTCGTGACTATCGCTGCTGTCGACGTCCTCTTCCGAGATCCAGAATTCTGTTCGCTTCTGGATACCTGGTTCAAGTGGGATGTCGCTGTGATCGCTCTTTGATAAGGAGGGCCTGCGCTCCGAGCGTATGAATGTATCGGTGTTACCGCCGTTGTCGCCGTGTAACCTGCTGCCGTTGTTGTACGCAGATCGAGAGCGATGCGACGAGTTTCCGTATGCTGAGGGATGGGAGCTGGGGAGCTGTTTTTCTCCAAAGAAGTAGAACCAGAGGGACCTGGAAAGAGCCAGGTTTCCAGCAATAATTCCGAGGTAAAGCTCCAAGTTGGACCAAATTGCAGTTACTGCGTATACGTCTAAGGATGTTGTTAGCTGGTTTCTTTTGGACGCCCAACCAAGGCATGTCCTTACAACTCAAGTCGTTAGTCACCAGACCGAGAGAGGCTGCTCGTGCAATACCGAAGCCAGTTGCGCTGTGAGTTAATGTCAATTTACTAGTTCGGTTTGGGGGTTTAGAGGTTGCTAACATCAAACCGAGACTCATCAATGCGCCGACCGAGAGCTTGGTCGACAGTGGTATACGCACTTGCCAGACTACAACGAGAGGTAACAAGGAGCATAACAAGTCTGTCGCGACAGAGTATGCTAATGGAAGAATGTGTCAGTCGCGACTTTAAAAATTGCTCGTCCCTCTGCCTGACTTACAGATAGTCAAGTAAATCGAGTATATCCGAATCTTGGCGTCCCAACAGACTCCATTCCCTGTCCAGTACGCGTCGACGGGATCGCACTCGGCGAGTAGAATGATAATGACGCCAAAATTGGTGATGACCAGACCAGCCATGACGGACCACAAAAAGTACTTAAGCCGGCTGGAGTCTTTGATGCGGAGCAGCAGGAGCATGATAGAGCACTTGAGCAAGCAGATACTGGCGAACAGAAGTATTTGCGCGAACCATCCAAGCATGCTGTTGTTGACGTATTCCTCTGTCGAAATGTACCATCGATGCCTCCCATTTCCCGAGTTCCCTTGCGCGCACTGGACGCCGTATCTGACGACACCGAGACTGGCGACGATTCCCATAAGATAGTCATCCCATCCCAGATGCCGTAATGCGAAGCGAACGTAGAGTCGGATTGAAGTCGTGAATATGACAAAGAAGATTAGCACGCCGGAGACACCAAGGAGGATCGGGTTGACGTTCTCGTCCGGCGGTAGCGGATTCGGAGGGGTGACTGGCGCCATCGCGAGCGCCTCTGTATGAGTCTGGTGGACTCAAGCCTGGGTAGCGTGAAAGAAGACGCCAGGACAAGGGACGAGGGTACGGATACAGCACGCCAGGAAATGCCAGGCCATGGGCTGAATAAATGTGTGGGAGAGAAGAAGTGAGCCAGCGGGTAATCGACCCACGGAATAGTCTCTGCACAAGGCAAAGACGAGGACGATCGCCAAGATCTACTTTTGGATGGCAGCTCGTTTACCCCCGGACTTTTAAATGTTCCACTCGAAGTGTGCCCTTGAGGACGGAAAAGGGAGCGTTGGTCGTCTTAAGAGCTGCGACGAAGCTGTGAAGGAGGAGAACAAGCTACATGCAATTCCGCAGTAGCCAGCCCTGCATGCGCGGACGGAGGAAACATGAGATGCAAGGAGGTCAAGGCACCACGGCGCATATGTCTCAGATGGGCGAGACCCAATCTACCCATCCCGCGGTTGTGTCGGGAGGAGGGTGGTAAATGGTAATGATTTGATGCCTTGGACGCCGACGACGCCGAGGTGGTGTTGTGTTGGTTTGGTAGAATGCAAGATTGCCCAGCCTCCGGTTCGATTCTTCCAAGATACGGATAATAGGCATTTGGTAGTTTGTTTCGTTGCCCCGAGCAGAGAGGCTGCATGCCAAAGGACGGGAGCTAAACGCAAATGTCTAAGACTCGATTCTCTGAACTACGTCCATTTGAGGGATCGTTGTGTCTCGCATGGCAAAGACGGGGGACCCCCTCCTCCAAAAGAAGAAGGGTCTTGGCCAGGAAGGACTAGGAGTCTCGTATTGTGGAAGACTGGGTTGGACGAGTATGTTCTCCTCTTCTCTCCTTCGATACCCGCCCAGCCTCTGCGAGCTCCTCTCTGGTTGCTTGGATACAGGTTGAGTTTGAGCGGCCTCCGTTCCCCTGCGTATCTCTGTTGGTCGTTGACGAGGGCACGCCGCACCCGAGGGAGGGATCAAAGTAGACCCTGGGCATGTGTGGATTCTTCTCATGCTGCGACCTGCAGTGCCTGCACATCTGACAGGCTGTGGGATGTTGCGCAAAGTGCAGCAGGTCTCCCAAGGGGTAAAGGTGATTTACGTACACAGACTTGTGGGCTCTTTTGCCAATAATTACCAAGCAAACACCTGCAGCAGAGCTGAGCAAATGGAGTAAATTGATGACGATCGTCTTCTTACTTTGACTTTTGTACTCCTCCATCCCATCTTCCCCCTCCTTATCTCTTGACGTCTCAACGCAGACAAGACAGGTTGTTGGTGGCCATGAGACAGATTCGGACACAGACCAAAAAGCATAACGGGTAGCCGAGCGGCGCGCGGCAGCTTTTCTGCTCTTCCCGCTCGGGAGACGAGGGGCGGACGCTGGTGAGAGTTTCGGTCGTGCGAAAGGGTGGTGCCCGAGTTTAATTGATGGAGGGTATGGCACGATTATCAGGGGTATCCTGGGCACTCCGTCAGCAGGCTGCGCGGCGAGGGACGAGCTTTCTAAACAAAAATACCAAAGAGGATCCAAACCGTTGAGCCCCCGAGGGGAAGCTCGGGAGAGAGAGAGAAACGGGGAGACGGGGAAGGGCCGGGAAACGCCGTTGTTAACCTGTCAATGCTTCGAGAGACGTGGAGTTATTATGGAATTGTTCATAACTGACCAAGACGAATGATTTGTGCAGGCAGGGTCACGTCGACTTGTCCAAACGGGTCTGACAGGCCTATCCTTGAGTCATGAACCTAACCCCGGAGAGCGACCGGCCGGCGCAGCTCCGCAATCGTCAACGGTTCTTCTCCGGATAGGCACGTTGATGGCACGGTAACATTCGCCCGGGTACACAGCCATCCCCTTCGGCGAACACATTGAACCGTGGGACGGTTGATGTCGCTTTGTGGCGTAGTAGGGGAAATTTGCTGTGCCGTTCGTCTCTGGTAGAGCAGAACGCAATCGAACCTGCATAAGTGTCTGACATTCCCTCGTCATCCATTCTCTCTTCCCCTCTCCTCAAGGTTGGGGTAGACAGTTTGGCGGTTGTCCAACAAGTCGTGTTGTTGGACCGGCGCGCTGGTAGCTTACACGCGCATTTATAAGTGCTTACGCTGCCGTGTGACACCACCACAACATGCCGCCACCATCTCCTCCTCTCCCGGGACTTCTTCAGCGGTACTTACAGATAGTCTATAGCATATGAGGATTCTCGGCACCCCACTAAGCTACCATCATGTTCCCGTCCCTCCGGAGCTTGGAGGACGGGCGACCTGGGGCGGAGAACAAGGATATTTCTTTGGGCCGCGTGTATGATAACTGGCGCCGTTTTCTTGGACTATGGATAAGAGGCCCTGTTAACTTGCTAAAGAAGCTTGTAAGGGGATTAATAACCGCATTATTGACATTCGACTTTCACTTGAGGCAATTTGGGGGCTGCATACAAAAAGAGAGACGATCCTGCTGCCGCATGGAACAAGGCACGCCACAGCACGCCCTCCACTCCTTGTCGTTTGGTACCATTGACGAGGTTTCCCAAACGTGGACTTGATGTGCAGATATCACGCTTATTGGTTTTGAAAGCTCGAGCGTTTGCTTCTCTTTCGATCTAGGCTCTAGCAGAACTTGCAGAAGCGCGTTTCCCAGATCGCCGAGCCGAGGGTTCCTAAACTTTATTTTCTCCAACGTGTGGGAAAAGATCGCTGCATCGTCTTAGCCATGCTTGTCAAGTCGAGTCTCGCTATCGCCTCCGCGGCCCTTGTTTTGGGTGCCGCTTCCTTCTCCTCCTCCTCCTCCTCCTCACCCTCCTCCTCGTCGCAGCCCTATGAGGATACCTACGATTATGTAAGTTGTGCTCAGCTCTGCTCTCGGACGTTTGCGTTGCTTCGTTTACGGGGTCGCTCTGTTGGACCTATTCGCTTGTGCCCTTTTTTTAGTATTTTACGTTTGAACGCGGCCCCAGGGAGGTTGATTACCTGATACACTAACACTTTGTCTTTCCCAACCCCAGATTGTCGTCGGCGGTGGCACCGCTGGAGTAGCCGTGGCGGCTCGTCTCAGCGAGGGCCTCCCTGCCTCCAAGATCCTCCTCATCGAGGCGGGACCCGCAGTGTGGGATGAGCCTAAAATCAACGTACCCGGCATGAAGGGCTCGACGCTGGCCACGAAGTACGACTGGAACTTCACCACGGTGCCGCAGACCAATGTCAATAGCCGAACTTTCACGGTTAACCGAGGCAAGGTCCTCGGTGGCAGCTCCGCCCTCAACCTCATGTCGTACGATAGGGCTGCCGTGGCCGAGTATGACAGCTGGGAGGGTCTCGGCAACCCGGGATGGAACTGGGAGACGATGATTGCCGCCATGAAAAAATCAGAGAACTTTACTGGCATCAATACCGATACGTACGGGTCCGAGGGCGTCGGTGATAGCGGGCCGGTCAAGGCTGTCATCAACCGCATCATACCCGAGCATCAGAAGACATGGATCCCGACGATGAATGCCCTCGGCATCGAGAGCAACTTGGAGTCGCTCGGCGGAGACCCTCTCGGAGTGATGTATCAGCCTAGCAGCATTGATCCGACTCACTACAATAGGTCTTACAGCGCCAACGCCTATGTCCCCATTGGCGGCTCGAACTTGGAAATCCTTTCCGATACCACGGTTATTAGAGTCAATCTCGGAAAGGCAGCCAATAACTCGACTCTTCAGACAGCCACGGGAGTCACCCTTTCAGATGGAACCATCATCTCAGCTCAGAAGGAGGTTATCCTATCTGCTGGCTCCATCCAAAGTCCGGGCTTGCTGGAGTTGTCAGGCATTGGCCAATACTCGGTCCTCAATGCCTCTAGCATCGAACAAGTCATTGAACTCCCCGGCGTTGGTGAGAACCTCCAAGACCACCTTCGTATTCAAAGCTCCTACCAGCTCAAGGACAACTACACCTCCTTCGACATCCTCCGCAGCAACGCCACCTACGCCGCAGAGCAGTTGACCCTCTGGAACGCCGGACAAGTCTCACTTTACGACTACACCGGCAGCGGCTACACTTTCACGACCTGGGCGCAAGCCATCGGCAACGACTCGCGTCTGGTTGCCCTCGCTAAAGAAGCCGCCGGCGAAGACCCTAGCGTCGTCGACCAGAAGAAGCTGGAGTTCATGACCGACCCTTCTATCCCCCAGCTCGAAGTCATCTTCTCAGATGGCTACACCGGCGTCAAGGGGTATCCCGCGTCAACATCACCTCTCTTTGGCGAAGGGTTCTTCACCCTCATTGCCGCCATCATGCACCCCATGAGCCGGGGCAACATCCACATCAACCCCGCCAACACCACCGGAAAGCCCGTCATCAACCCGAACTACTTTGCGCACGAACATGATCTCGAGGCAGCGATCCAGGCCATCAAGTACTGCCGCAAGATCGCAACCACCGAACCCATGAGGTCCATCTGGGAGAATGAGTATGAACCTGGGCTGGATGTTGTCCAGACTGATGAGCAGTGGAAGCAGTTTGCTCTCAACACGACGTTGAGCATCTTCCACCCCGTTGGAACATGTTCCATGCTACCGAAGGAGGATGGTGGTGTTGTCGACAGCGACCTGAAGGTGTATGGCACTTCCAATCTGCGCGTTGTCGATGCTAGTGTCATTCCTTTGCTTATCTCTGCGCATGTACAAACTGCCGTCTATGGTATCGCGGAGATCGCGGCTGAGCGCATCATCGCAGATGCTTAGAAGTGATCACGAGGCCAAGGGTCTATGAGATGATTGATGACAGCATAGACTAGCCTTGGAGAATTCTTTTCTTAATTCTAATGATAATTGTTCACCAATATTGGAACAATCTACTGAAGGATCTGATGTGATATGTTGCGCTTTCTTGCAATATTTGCTGAGAAGATGACAAGACCGGAGGACCTCCGTTCGATGAAAACACCACGCCCAAGAACAGCACAACAGTGACGCCACAGCCCTGACTGCTGCTATCAAGCCCCATTGTCTCTTTGACCCATTGATGCCATCTTGCAAGTCAAAGCATCTAGCTTTGGTACAAAACATCACACAGGCACAACTCCCGAACTTGTAAAATGAATCAATCTTAGTTGAGGAGTTCAACCGTGTCGATGGAAGTCTCAGCGCGCACACATACGAGCAACCGTCACAGCCATAACAAGCTTGAACCGGAAATCATTTAATAGTCTGAAGTGCTTTATTTACGGAAAGAAACTTTATACATAAGATAATCTAGAACGAAACATGTACGTTGAAGTGGCTCAGGAAGCCATCGTCATCACCAGCAGCCGTTGCCCTGCCATGATCACATCCACTCAGCACTTGAGGGCTCGATCATCTAGTGCAGGTGAGCATGGCGTCTGAAACGCATGGCCTGGCGCTGAGCGCGTTTAGTGACACCGTTGCACTTGCTGGCCTCGGGGGCAGTAGAGTTGGAAGAGCCGGTAACGGTGACGGCGGCAATCTTCTCGGCAGCGTGCTCGGCGGTGATCATGATGATGGACTGGGTATTGCCGGTGGGCAAGTCAGGGTGGATGGAGGCGTCGACGACGAAGAGGTTGTCGGTGCCGTAGACCTTGGTGTCGAGGTCGACAACGGCGGTACCGTCCGTCTTGCGGCCATCGTCGGTGCCCATCTTGGCGCTGCCAACCCAGTGGTCGCCAGAGATCATCTTGGTGCTGATGATGTCGTCGGGGGTGGCACCGGGGGTGACGTAGCTGAGGGTGGAGTTGCTGCCGCTGGTGAGATCAAGCCAGTACTGGACAAAGTCGGACATGGCCTTCTTGTCAGCGGCGTCGATCAACCAGGGCTTGGTGTTGAGGACGGTGTTGCCGGAGGCGGTGATGCCGAGCTCGCCGAGGGTGGAGGTGCCGTGGGTCAGGAACGTGCGGACGGTGATGATGCCGTTCTGCATGGCGCTGGCGGTACCCTGGAGGTAGCGGGTGCGGCCGTCGGAGCCCTCGGCGGAGGTCCAGAGGTGCATACGCTGAGCGGCCTGGGTGATGGGACCAGAGCCCTCCTTGTACAGGTTCAGATCGCTGGTGACGGGGTTGGAGGCGATGGCGTTGAAAGCGTAGGCGCTGAAGTTGGTCTTGGAGTTGAACTGGAGCATGACCTGGGCGTGGTCCTGGAGGTGGTGTCCGACGGGGAGGTCGATCCAGTCGGCCTGGTCGGGAAGGGTGACACCAGTGCTGGCGGCTCCGGACTTGACGATCTCCAGGGCATCAGAGCGGCCGATACCAGAGTTCCAGAGGAGACGGGGAGAAGACATGGCACCGGCGGCGAGGACGACCTTACCGCCAGCGTTGACCTTGATGATTTGGGTGCTGCCGTCGGCGGCCTGGGTGAGGACACCGGTCATCTTGCTGCCAGTGCGGAGGACCTGGATCACCTTGGTCTCCAGCTTAAGGGTGAAGTTGGGCAGCTGCTGGGCGAAGGGCATGTAGGTACGGGCAGGGCCGGCACGGAGGTTGTCCTTGATGGACCACGAAGGGCGGGAGAAGACGGAGGACTTCTCGTTGGGAGACTCGATGGAGTCAACCTCGTTCCAGCCCTTGGCGCTCAGGAGGCCAGAAAGCACACGGAAGGTCAAGTCATCGTAGTACTTGCCGTCATCGGAAGGCTCAGTGGTACCGGGGTTACGCTCGTAGAGGCGGGAAGCGGCGTCCGAGACGTCAGCCCAGTTCCAGCCCGCGGGCCAGCGCTGCCAGTCGTGCTCAGGGGGGTGGATGAAGTTGAGACCGTTGATGGAGCTGGATCCTCCCAACAAGCAGCCGGCCGTGGAGGCAGTGTCACTGCAGAGGGAAGTTCCGGAGAGACTGGTCATGGAGCTGCCGAGGGCGGGAATGTCGTAGGGGGTGAGAGTGTCGTTCCAGGGCAGAGCCATGTCAGAGCCCAAGGCGACAGTGTTGGCAGGGCCACGCTCGATGAGGAGGACGCTGGAGCCCTTCTCGGCGAGACGCTCAGCGGCGATGATACCAGCAGGGCCACCACCGACGACGATGACATCGTATGTGGTGTTGGAGGTGGTGGGAGCGGGAATGGTGCTGTTGCCAGGAACGGGGGTGGTTGTGCCGTTGCCGGGGACGGGCGTAGTCTCAACGGCCTTTGCGTACTTGGACCAGGTGTCGAACTTGGCGGACTTGGCAGAAGCAATGTCAAGACCGAACTGACCGAAGCCAGCGGAGTGGTAGTTCAGGGCAGCAGCCGAGTCAGAGACGGGTGACGGGCTGGTGTCGGAGTAGGCCCAGCCGAGGATGGGAGAGTCACCAGCCAAGCTGGTCTTGTCGTTGATACAGTTCTGGCACAAGAAGGTGTACGAGAAGTGAGTGCTGTTGACAAAGGTACCGTTGGCGATGGGAACAGCGGAGACCTCAGTGGCAGTGTAGACGTCGGGGTTGGCGTAGGCACTTCCCAGGCGGAAAGATGTCTTGATATCCTCGCCATCGGCCCAAGCAACGAAGAGGAGGCCGTTCAACATGCCACCCTTCAACGAGACAGCACCCCAGTTACCCTTTGTTGAGATGGGCACAACCATCTGACCAATGAAGTCCGTTCCGATGGTCTCGGGAACCGCGATACCGAAGCTGTAGGGGTAGGCGGAAGGCAGGTAGCGTTGGAAGTCGATACCGGTCTGAGGGTCAGAGTAGGCCGAGGCTCGCAGTTGCGCGGTGGCAGATCCAGCGAGCCCGAGAAGGGCCGCTACTCCTGAGAATGTAGAGCGCATGGTGACGATCGTTTGCAAGTTCTTCTAAATATCTCGAGTTTATTTGGTTTCGTTTTTGGGGACAAGGAGTGGATTTGGAAATTGTTCAAATAAGGGAACAAGTCTCAAAATGGGAGTGAATGAACGTAACCTCTAGGGTCAACAAGTGAAAAATGAATGAAAACACCGTACTAGCGGTGACTCGAAAAAGAAGGAATGCACGAAAGATGCGGCTCAACGATCAGAAAGAAGAGTCAAATGGTGTCGAGGGTGGAGGCAGTCCTCTGGCGTTGATATTATATCTCTCCATGCCTTCTCTCCTATCCACTGATCCGTCATCCAACAATCAACTGCCCATCGTACGTACCACTTAATTACTATCCATACCTGGAATAATTGTACAAGACGGGAAAGGCCCCCACTGAAGCAAGTTTCCTTAATCTCATATTGCCCAAGGATGGCTGCTGCTTGCATACTGCGCAGCCCGGGGTCCGTAGCGCCAGACCGGGGGGTCGCAAAGATTCTCCGTGTTGGTCTCGGTCGTCGGCAGACCCGCTGAAGTTGGCGAACCCCGGGATGTGCGTCCTTGGGGCCGCTAGAATGTTTGACATAAACTTGTCTGCTATCTGGTGCCAAGCGCGCCAACTGAGCCAGCTCGCGCTTTGTTTCAAATAAGAACACCGTCATTGGCAGAGCTCCCAAACGAGGCCATCGCCGTACTTGCAGGCAGACGCAGGCAATGCAGGCGACTTATCCCTATGACGTGCCGTGTAATTTGAGCCGGCTTGTTTTACTTACATGTGTGCTGTCCCACTTACCGTGATCGCGAAGCCTGCAGGTGATCTGGGCGCGCAGTGCCGCCCCCTTTCGTCCCCCTCTCGTTGGTGTCCAACGGTGAAATGGACCGACCTTCAGCGCCTCTGCGGCAAACCAGCTCCAGCCACTTTGAAATCTTCGGATGAACTGACCGAAGGGGGGGCGGCGGCCGTAGTGGATAGCGGGAATAATGCAACGTTGAGGCAACCGAGGAGGGCCTTTGGGAATTGGACGTGATAAGTGAGCAAACAATCCTTCCAGTATTTCGTACGCGGGATGTCGAAAGAGCCTCCCTGCAGCTACCTTTCATCTCATGCACTCCTGTCTAGGTACCTAGCGCCCACACTGCCGCCATGATGCGACTTCTGCTCACCAAGACATGTCAAATCAAAGACACTTTGCTGGCTGGGCCAGACCATCGGGATCAAGAGCCGAGACTAACCAGTAGCAACTAGCTTTTGCTGCAACGCTGATCTTCTGGACCAGAACTTAACAAGATCGAGTTGCTTTACTCGAGACTTTCCAATGTCTCCATCAGCCTCAGGTGGGAGGTCCCCCATGTTTGTAGTCCACAATTACCCCTCATAAGCTGGAATGCCACCTTCTCAATTGGCGGAATTTGTTTACGTTTAATAATTGGGGTCAACGGATATGAATAAATTGAACCATACTCGGTGGATTCTCGTCCAATTTTACCGAGCTGCTCGGTAAAAGTTGCTCAAATTTGCTCCGCCGTGAATAGTGGACGCGAAGCTTTGTTCCCTCTTTTCTTTTGGTACCGTAAGATTGGGCATGTTTTGCCATTTGACATTTCCCCTTTTCTTTCGGCCGAATGTATTGGACTTGCCGCAGCAGACAGACCTTTTCTCTACCGCACAATGCGAGGCTTCTACACATAGGATTGTCGTCTATTTATCCGGACGGGTATTTGTGCCATTTGGAAGTGGACGAGTCAGATAACCCCAAGCAATCCGGGGACGCGGGAATACAACAGGGACCAACCCTGAAGTAAGAGGACTGAATTCACCCGAAAGTTAACGCCCAGATCTCTCCTTCTCAGGGGCTTTTCTTTGGTGTTACACTGGATATTGCTTGATCAGCACTTGACTCGCAGACGGGAGCGCTGCTGATCTGGTGATCAAGCCAACTCCATGGTGCGTTAATCAACTGTCATGCCAAGCTTTCCGACTAGCTTCCACGCGGGTGCCTTGTCCATGGATAAACGGTTGGTGGTGGATAAATGTCTCTCGATTCGAAGTGCAACATCCCACAGGCTGCTTTTTCAGGGGAAACTTTCAAGTTCTGGAACCGGTCCTTGCCAGATTGATGCACAAAGCCACCAGCGGAGCAAGCCTGCTTATTGGCCACTCCCGAGGTCCTGGTCAAAATTTGATCAGTGATACGTGACGACGACCTCGATAGCGAGCAGATTCTCCAAAGATTGTTTTGTGTTTTCATGGACTGTCCCTTTGCCTTCGGCAATTTTTGGCCGGATGAAACTTTGCTTTATTGCGATCGTCGATATCGCCGTGTTTGACCCAGAGAAAACCTTTCGTGTTGCCCGATGAAGAATTCGTACAAGAGACTTGACCCGACTGGGCTCACCCAACTTTCTAATCTTTACGTCTCTAGGCCCTCTTAAGCGTTATTACTTCAGTATTCCATAATAAATCTTCCACAGCTGAATGATTTGATACAGATAGCATATTCTGTCGATTGTCTCGCTTAACCGAGGGGGTTCCAAGCAGAAGCACCGCTTAACTTCAGGGCCAATTGTGAGACCAAAAGCGCGGAGGGCTTCTATCCTCTTTTTAGTCCTCATTCAATTCAGCTTGGCTCATCTTGTCCAGAGCATTCAAACGGCAGTCTCAAGAATCTTAAAGCCTTAGGTCCGCTAGGACTGCGTCTTTTTCATCATTGATTTTATAACGAAGCAACCTCAGCATACACGTCACTGATCACAAGAGTGTCTTATCAAGCTGTCCTTTTGCGGGCTATGTTTTATCTAACGAGATAGTGAACACTGCCTGGCGTTTTATCCGATAGGCGGCTCTGCTTTCTTTATTTGACATGATCTGACAAAGAAACCATGTGTACTTAGTATCACCAAGACTCACAGCTAAGGCCCTCATGTTTGCAAGGGTAATATGGCTTAACCTGATGCACAGTAAGCTTTGGGAGCCATGATTGAAGAGTCGAGGAGCAACACTTACAATATCCGGATGCTCCGGCCATGGGGTGCCATGGACATTGAGCTCCTCAAAGTCTTTGGGTGGATTCTCCAGTATAGCGTCCATCAAATACTTGGTGCAATGTATCGTATGGCTGTAGTTGAAAGGAGGATCATAGCCCAGTGAAATCCACAGGTGCGTCTGCCGCAGGGTGTACATGCAGTGATATGTGTGTTCCTTCCTCGTGACCCAACCGGCGGTCAGGACCTCGCTCGTCGGTGGTATCTCATGTTTTCCGCCCTTATCATAGTATCGATGCCATGGCCCTTCATTGTGGAATTCTTTGAGTAGCGCCACGTTGTCTTTGTGCGCCATAGGCTCTTTGGGCCACCATTTAAACGACATGGTGTCAAACTCGCAGCCCCTGTCGCGCGCGATTTTGGGTAGGGCACCGTTGGGCGCGCAGACATACCCCGAGAGGTCGAGGTCCATCTTTTGGCAGGTTTCGCATGATGGGAAGAAGGCGAGATACGCCAGTATTGAGAAGATGAGGATGGGGGGAACGAAGAGATACCATGATTTCCAAGCTGGGTCGAACTGTTGCCATGGAATGTATTTTTTGACTCTGACGAACCCGGCTTCTTGATCGACGGAGGAATCTCTCGAGGCGCCTTCTTCGCAAGACTCTCCTTCAGTCTCATCTTTGAGGAGTGAGTACTTTTCTTCGTGTTTGCCCGACTTTGGTGACATGATGTGCCTAAGAAGTGGCCGACCCCACCCGTGAAAGGCTGGGCTGCAGTCGTTCTGTGGTGGAGGTAGACTTTCTGCTCAATACAGAGACGACTTGAAGATATGGCATCAGTATGATTGTGTAGGACTAGAAGCTCCAAGTAGAGAGTAAAAGAGACCGACGAATTACACTAGTGTGCCCCATCGAGTCCAGGCACTATTGCGACGGTGAATACAAAAGGTTTGAAGATAATCGCATTGTTGAACTTTCTCCTCACTATTCACTCAAGCACTGGCTAGTACATCGGCTCCAGAATGGATATCTTCGTGCAGAGTATGGCTTGCTGTGGGATCGGGGGTGGCGGACCGAATGCCCCACATTTCCGGACCGAAGCGCCGATCCATCATCGGTCCGACAAAAATGCCCTACTCCGGTCGACTCGTAGATGCCATCGACGTTGATCGCTGTGTGAAAAAAATCGGCAGAGTGGGAAGCCAGTTGTCTAACTCGAAAAAATTTAAGCTCGCACAGTTTTCGTAGTCTCAGTTGTTGTGAGACTCAAGCAGCAATGCCCTTATCAACGCAAACGGATGAGTCAAACTGCGAGATACTTGGTGTCAATCAGGCAGAACCGCGAGATTTCTATCACCAAAGCCTTCTATATCCTTTGTCAGCTCTCCTCCCATGTCTAAAGGAAACGTGGTCTTTTCCGTCGCTGCAAAACCTTGATCGAAGGGCCGTGCTGTAAACATCAAGTGTTGACACTCGTTCAATGCGACGATTTGCCCATCACTCTACTCGCTATGCTTGAATAAACTAGCCAGAGGACAAACCTCTAGATAGTTCACGAGATATTACAATGATCATCATGATTTATTACCCCTCTATTTCACAGGTGCAAGTTCAATTATGTAAGCCAGCTTGGAAACCTCGAGGAGTTAGCGCGTCTGAAAAGGACGAGTAGATCTTACGGTCGCTTGAAACATGGCTGAAACCTCACCACCAAGGATCCTTGAAGCTCCCATGTTCGCGAATGTCCCGATGGGCCCGTTGGGGGTCTCTCGACCATCCGTTGCTCTCCATTCTTCTCGATGAAGAAAGGGAACTGGAGTTCATCTCTTGGCAAATTCTTGGTGTTCTTGGCCTCCCAATCGGCTATCGTGGCGGCGTCCTTCTTTTGATGATCTTGTTTGTTTGGTTAAACAGCAGCCATGCTCTCCGAAAATCGTCCACTTGTGTGGTCCTTCTTGGCGCTATTCCTTATTTTCGTCTGGAGCCTCCGACTTTTAGGCGTTCACGACGCGATCGCGGATACAGTTTCGACGTTTTTTCCCGATGAATCGAACGAAGAAGCGACGACTGAGAGCGGATTCATGCGGCAAGCAATTGATGTCGAATTCCCAACTCCGATCGACTACGCGCCCATTCGGGAAACATGCTCTCGCACTCGGTTTCGCCCTGGGCTGCTGTTCAGCTGCGAAGAACAGCATGGCGGCATTGGCATGGTGCGAAATCAAATATTGAAGTGCGTTCGTTATGCGATCCACGGCGGGGGTGCACTCGTTCTGCCTTCAATGTCACTGCGGAACGCGAAAGATATTACCGATATCGAGACGGGAAACGAGGTGCCTCTCGATTACCTGCTGGATCGCGAGGCCTTTATAACACGATTGACGGAAGGGTGCCCCGGAATGATCGTGTACGAAAAGGCAACGGACTTTCCCTCCTACGAACACCGGTTAGGGGAGCCACTGTCTCTAGTGGGAGACCATTTCGAGCCAGACCACCCACGGGAAGGACTGAGACACCCGCGAAAATGGCGATATTTCTTCGACAATTGGCTCGAAGAGCAGGGAGTTCGAGAACACATGGGCCCAGATGCCCCAGTACATATCAAGATGGAGCAATCCTTCCTCGAGTACCCCGTACGCGACGACGGTGACGCCTTTGTGCACGAGTTTGGCAAGATCCTATCCTTCAGGAACGACACCCGCGCTCTTGCGGCAAAGATTCTCTACTTGCTTAAGGAGAAATTCGCGCTTCCTTTCGATCCGAGAAAAGCAATCAACTCCAATGCTTACTTCGGGGCACATCTACGGCTGGAGAAGGATGCCACGTCTGCCTGGGGGCCCGATGAATGGCGGTTCTCGCGGATGGACGACCAATTCGAAGAACAATTCCGCTATCTCGAGCGCACGGGTCTGAACGTCGTCTATGTGGCATCTGGGAATCAGACTGTGGTCGACATTTTCGCCGAAAGACTCAACAAGTATCTCTCAATAGAGACTGGTACGCCGAGGAGGAATATTACGGTGGTGACCAAAAACGACCTGCTTCTCGGGGCCGACCGCGAGCAACTTGATGCCCTTACATTTGATCAGCATGCCCTGGTGGATTTCCTGGTCATGTTCAGAGCGAGTGCATTCATGGGCGTCGCTCATTCCAGTTTCCCGTGGACAATTGCCCTACGGCGGCACGAGCTGAGTAAATATTCGAAATTCGGCAACGAAGGCTCAGATCTTCTGAGAGACGAGTACAGCATTATTATGGGTATGGAGGCCGACTATCCATATGTCGACCCCTTTGTGTATGGCCTGTGGCCATAAAGCCATCTCGGCATCCCGGAGAGAAATGGGACAGCGACATCGTATGGATAATGAAAGCATTAAATACCAGCATGTGTATAAGTTTTGACAGGCATCAAAATACATGTAGAAAGACTCTAGCATTACCACAGTAGAAAAAGAAGCAAGAGCGCGTCTAATACCAACCAACAATCGAAGTATCCAACTTCTAAGTTCCCTGCCACATGGGCCGCGATCTGCATTATGAAGCAAGGGCTGCTTTGATGTTGCCCACCGTCTGACTCTGGTGGTCAATCAACAGATCAAGCAGGCGCCGATATGTCTGCGTTAAGGTCTTCATAGTAGTCTCAGAGAACAGGGACTCGTAGTAGGTAAGCGTCGCGTCAAGCCGGGATGGCCCCTCGTTGAATGCCAGCACCAGTAGTTGCTGCCGATTCGACATATTAGTTCATGCAGTCTTGTTCAAGACGAGACCTCTTGACGTACCTCGTGGGGATCCTGCTTCCAGATTGATTGAAAGCCAATACTAAGATCATCATCCGAGTACTTGACCTTTCGGTAGTTGACCAGAGTGTTGAAAAGTCCAGTGCTTTCACACCCCAGCTGCCGCTCCACTTCGGTCAAGTCAAAGGTCTTGTGCTCCAGGCTGCGGATGTTCTCATCTTGGAAGGCCTGCAAGGCCTGCATAACCATCGTAGAATCGTCAAAAGTAGCGCAGGCTATCATCATTGATAGCATCGGCCCGATGACCTCATCCGCGTGCGGCAAGTCAATGTCTCGGTCAGAGACTAGATGCCCAAAACAAACGGTAGAGTGACCAGTGTAAACATGAAGGAGCATGGCCCATGCGAATTGAAGAACGTTCGAGAGAGTCACCCCGGCCTCGCGGAGAAACTGTTTCAATTCGACCGTGATATCCACCGCGAAATTGACGGAACCCATGGTGTGAGGGTCTGAGCCGCTTCCCACCATAGTCTCGATTGGGACCATGTATGGCTTTACACCCTGTAGCTTGTCGACCCAGTATTCATTGCTTGTGTGGAGATCACGCCGAGAGTTGATGTGCTCGATGTAATCATGAAAACAGGTCAGAGGATTTGCCCCTGGACTCTGACCACGATAGAGCGTGACAAAGTCGGAGAAGACGTGAGCCAAGCTAACATGATCAATCAATATGTGTCCCATGATAAAATGGATGAATGTCTCCCCAGTAGGGCCAACAAAAAGGCGCACCGAAACTGGCGGTGAATTCTCCTTAAACAGCTTTAAGCGAACGGCGTTAAGATGAAGCCTAGCTTCTTTCATGGCTTCTTCCTCCGAGTTGACATGGAGGACTATAATATCCGTTTTGTGCTCTTTTAGAGCTCTCTGGTAGACACCTCCCGAGGCGAGGTCATGGATAAAGACAGTCCTCAGTATCGCATGTCGGCTAATGGTTTGCTGCCACGCTTTTTGAAGGGCGCCGGTATCGACAGACGGAGACCCTTTGAGAGCATTCAACAAAACAAGACTGTTGAACATATAGGGTCTCTGGGGCTTGCTAAGGAACGCCTGATACATCCTTTTCTGGAACGGCGAGCAGGATGACACGGTCTCGACATTGTCGGGAGCTAGGACAGAATGCGGCACATGGGCCTGATTGCTGGTAATTCTAGGCAGGGCGTGATTTGCTTCGGGCCTGGTGGCTCGCTTCGTAATTTTGCTTGCCAAAAGCCTGATTGTTGGATTCGCGAGAACATCCTGTGTTGTCACGTTGAGGCCTGCTGCTTTACAGAGTCTCATTACTTGCATCGCTACATATGGATCAGCATCAGGATTCAACCACTCGCCGACCAGTTGGAAAAAGTGGACTCTCTGCTTATACTCACCATAGATAGAATCTCCTCCAATTCTGAAGAATGACTGCTCAAGGCCTATCCGGTCTGGATGTCGAAAGTCAGATGTGTTCCCAGGTCGCCCATTATAGTTCACTTACGACGTTCAATCTCAAGAACCTCCGCCCATATACCCCTCAAAGCTTCATCCATTGAAGAGCCACACTCACGATCCGAGGACCCTCCTTTGTGAAGATCAAGAGCATCCTGCAGTGTTCGATGGTCAATTTGTCCTACCCAGCTCATCACCCGTTGCCGATCCAACTTGAGTGATAGCTGAACTGGGAGGGTTTTGACAATGAGCCATGATTCCGGCATCATATACTGAGGTAACTCTCTCTCAAGCGCCGAAGTGATTGTATTCATCGCATCAGCCAGCTTCTGGTGCATCTCTTGGCTGAGGCTGTCTTTCTTGATGATGACGATATCCTGGTTGTAATTGCGTGTTTCGAGATTCGATAACACGACTGTTAGGCTAACGACAGCCACAAGACGTCCTTTGAGATTACCCGATTCCGGGACCAGAACCATGCTATGCTGAATGATTCCTGAAAGATTGTTGAGATGATACTGAATCTCGCCAAGCTCAACCCGTTGGCCACGAATCTTGACTTGGGAGTGGTCTTTCCTGCGTTGGATGAGGAGGCTTCCATCTTCGGCATACCTCACCAAATCACCAGTCTTGTACAACCTTCGAGAGCCTCCGTCACCTTCATATGAAAGATACTTGTCAGCCGCCCATAGAGGAGGCTCAATGAAGGCAGTCGCAGTTTTTATCTCATCGTTGAGGTAGCCTTTGCCCACAACCGGACCGTCGAGAAGTAGCTCGCCGATAGCCCCAACGGGCATCAACATGTGGTGGTTCTCCGGATGAACAACCCAAGCGCGACACCCAACCGGCCAACCGATATTCGTAGCAATCGTATCCACCTTGAACGGCGCTCCAATGGTGCTGGTCACTGAGCACTCCGTTGGCCCGTAGCTGGGCCTCATGTGGATCTTCCCAGCCCAACGAGCTACAAGATCCTGGCCCATCGGCTCTGCATGAACGGTTATGAACTTGACAGACCCCAGATCTCCTGGATCAAGGGTACGGAGAAAGGATGGAGTGAAAGCAGCCCAGTTCACCTGCTTACGCGCGACAAATCCGGGGATGTCGGACATGCGCTCTTCCTCGGACGGGATACAGATGCAACCGCCCGCGACAAGGACGGTAAATATTTCTTCGAGAGAAGCATCGAAGCAGAAGTTTGTGAACTGCAAAACGCGGGACTCGGCCTCGATTTGAAGCCAGGGGGAGTTATAAGCCACGGCGGAGCAGAATGACTTGTGCTGGATCACTACTCCCTTAGGTGTGCCCGTTGTTCCTGATGTGAAGATGACGTAGAGTGTGTTTAAAGGAGTGACAGAATGGGTTAGTGAGATGCCAGAGTTTGGAATATTCTCGATGGAAGTCCTGTCGACGATAACAAGGGTTTCCACGAGGCTTCTCAGCTTGTCAGACTGTTTCGGCGAAGACAGTCCGATCCTGGCCCCAGTCTGCTCAACCACAGACTCATTCCTCTTCGGAGCACCATTTGGATCAATGTGAACGAATACCGCCCCGGACTTTGCCACTGCAAGCATTGAAACGACTGCCCACAGAGACTTTTCGAAACAAAGAACGACGATATCTTCAGGCACAACTCCCAAGGCCTGGAGTCGAGACGCGATGTTGGTTGATAAGAAGTCCACTTCGGCGTAAGACAAATCGCCGTCCCAGGCGCAGATGGCTGGCCTCGAGGGCTGTCTGTTGACTGTCTCCGAGATCATGTCGTGGATACAGCGGCCATTGGTCTTGAGTGGGAATGAATTCCATTCCTGCATCTGCTTCTCGTCCAGAGCGCTAGTAAGGCAAATCTTTGAGATCTGGGCCTCTGGGTCGTGGATGATAGCTCGCACGGCGTTTAAATAGACAGCTAAGATGCGCTCCGTTTCAACCTCGGCCATGAAGTGTGTGGTAGTCTCAATGGTGATACGACACTGCTCTTGATCTTCAGTGATGCATAAGGCGATGTCGTACTGTTCAAGGAGAGTCAGCATTCTCTTGCTTCATGATGTCTCAACTGCGTAGGAATCAAACGGAAAAAGAGCAAACTACCTCGCTTGTGTCATGTGCAAAAAGCAGCTCCGATTTGATCCTCCCCGGCCCCGGCGTTGCGGTCGTCTTTTGGAAGTTAAAGATGGTGTTGAAGAAGGCATATCCACTGCGCCGGGCTGCATGTTGGATTCGCGCCAAAGAAACAGCCTGCCTGGCAAGATGATCAATGTTATCTTCCTGTAGTCTAGTCAAGATCTTTGAGATGCCCGTTCTTGGACCCAGTTGTACTCTGATGGGCATAATATTGGCCATCGGACCCACGATCTCTGACGCCCCCGGAACCGGGATGTCTCTTCCGTGGCTGAGAAGACCAAAGACTACGTCGTCTGAGTTCAAGTATGTCGACAAAACCATTGACCATGCAGCTTGAAATATGATGGGAATCGTGAGATCCAACTTTCGACATACTGAGCTCAAATCGCCTTTAGGAAAACTGGAAGACGTGCGGGTAAACTCGGGAGCTTGAATCGAGAACGGTCGATGTTGGCGTAGCGCTGGGAATAGACATGGCGGTGCACCATCCAGATAGCGGCACCAATATTGTGTGATCTCATCCAAATCTTGCCTTTCGACATAGTCGATATAATTCGAGTACGGGCAGGTGTCTTGTCGCGGACGACCGTCCAAAGCAGCCATAAAATTTCGAATCAAGAGGCGAGAAGTCGTACCGTCAGTGATGATGTGATTCTTGTCCAAAAGGCAGTATATAGAACCGTCATCTACGGTGTACATCTGAAGTTTATAGAGTATCTTGCCGCTCAAAGGTTTAGGTGCGATAAAGGAAGATTGCTCCGCCCATAGGGTTGGTAGGTCAGTTTCGCTTCGAAGGCTGTGGACCTGGATCTCGGCATCGACAGCCTTCAAGACGAGCTGAAGAAATCTCCCAGACGCATCTTCAATGAAGACAGTCCTCAAAATTTGGTGCGTCGCAACAACCTGCCTCCAGGCTGCTGAGAGGTCATTAGGATTGAGTGGCATTGGCCCAGAGAGTTTGAAGAGAAAGTGCTGGCTGTACTGATTGCTTACACTCTTCAGCTGTGATAGCATGAGGCTATCTTGGATTGGGGAGCAAGGAAGGACTAATTCTATTTCGGTAGGTGGGATGCCGAGGCGGGATTGAGCGAGATTGAGAATGGAGTTGAGTTCCTTGCCTTGAAGTCCAATCGAGGCAACCGCAGGCTCCAAAGGCGATGGTGGCAAGCGCTGATGTTCGCCCGTGAGAGCCGTAATGAGGGCCCTCAGACTGAGTTCAAATTGATGCAGCCAATCTACCAAAAGATCTTGGTGGTGCATCCGAGAGTTCCACTCAACATGTAGAGACAGTTCCCTATCCTTGAATGATGCTAAGATTGAAATCAGGGCGTATCTCGATGAGCCTGAACGCTGTTGTTGTCTGAGGCCCGAGATCTTCTCTTGGATCTCATCCCCACATCTCTTGAATAGAGAATCGTTTTTCTCGAATTGCTGGAAAGCCCCGAGAAAGTTGAGAGTTACCTCCATTGGATGATGATGCTCGAACGCCTCCTCCCCAGCTTTGCTCAGGAAGCATGATGCGAAATAAGCCAATCCATTAAGGGGAATGTTTTTGCGGAACTCGCGGACATCCCTGAGAATATCATCATGGCCGTTCGCCATGATGGGAGAGAAGGTTGTGAACCAGCCAACTGTGTTGGCCGGGTCTACCTCAGGGGAGAAGACTTCTCGCCCATGGCCTTCACTAAACAGGGCAGGAGGGCGTCCGAATATCTCGACAAATGACTCGAAAACAGAGGCCAACAACATGTCATGAGCTCCGTTCCCAGACACGTCTTGCGCCGAAACTAGTTGGTGAGAGACATTCGAGTCGAGAGTGATGTTATGCGTAACACAGTCCCCGAAACAGTTCCTCTCATCTGCCATGCCCCAAAATGACAAATCAGTGGCAAGTGCATGAGCCGATGGAGACAAAACGCTTTGAGGTAGTAAGCTCAGTGAAAGGCGCTGTTGCTCCAATGTCCAATGTTGGAACGATGTTGCTTCGTCTGCGATCGGCGTCCCGAAGAGGAGATATGACTCCAACTCACGCAAGAGTATCCGCCACGACACTGCATCTACAACAAGGTGATGGATTGTCATAGATAAAAGGGTCTGGCTTTGAGACTCGAACAAGTCCACAGCCACGAGAGGACCGTTGGTAAGATGGATCGACCTTTTGGCCTCGCTGACGCAGTCAACCACGTAGTCGAGCTGTTTGCGACTGTGAAATCGCGTGCGACAGTAGTCAGCGACGCTGATGGTAGATCTAGCAGGTACGTATTGCGTCCATTCACCGTGAAGACATCTGAAGTGCGCGCATAGCATCGGGTGAGTCTTAAGGAGAGATTCCAAGGCCGTCAACAGTTGCTGTTGGTCCACGGCCTGGGTGACTTCAACCACCATGGTCTGCTGATCAAGATCGTCTCCCTTGGGCGAAGTTTGGAAATGGAGTTTCTGGATGGGAGAAAGTACGAAAGCTTGCGGTTCTGTGGGATCTTTAGACGTGTTGGTTTGAGCTGAAGCAGGCGAGGCAGCTACTACGGTTGCTTTGGCTAGGCGCTCGATTGACCGGTACCGAAGGATATCAGCAACTGATATGTTTAACCCCATCTGCCTCGCCATGCTGCTAATAGTCATTGCCGAGATAGAATCACCGCCTAAGACAGATTGATGAGTCTCATATGACACGTGCGCTCTCGACAGTGATAAAACTCACCAAGGTGGTAAAATGAGGTGTTCCAGCGAATCTCATCTTCCCCAACATTCAGGGCTTCACCCCAGATGCGCCGCAATCTTATCTCGAGTTGGGTGCCATCTCTTTCAAAGCTTTCGTCATCCATACGAGGTAATAAACTGGCAAACTCATCAGGAGTGAGACTCTCGAGATATTTGGTTACCCCCTTGCGATCGAGTTTGCCTGAAGAATTTCTTGGAAGGGATGTTAGAATGAACCACAGCTCTGGGTTCATGTAAGGTGGTAGCTTGTCGAGAAGGAAGCATCTCATGCAGTCAATATGCTCGAGCCAAGGTGCATCCAGGATCTTGATGGGCGATGCGGACATCTTTACGGGCTGCGCTACAGCTGAGCCATTCAACGCGACGACGGCCACCAATCTTTTCGCACAAGGTCCAGATTTCGGAACAAGAGCGAGGCAATGCTGCACTCTCGACTCGAGAACCAGCTGTCGCTCGATTTCTCCCAGCTCAATCCTCTGACCCCTGAGCTTGACCTGCGCATCTCTTCGCCCGACAAAGTGGAGTTGACCAGCAGAGTCGTATTTGACTAGATCGCCGGTCCTGTAAAGTCTTTTACCAGGTGCCCAATCGAGGCGCTCAACGAACGAGATTGATGTTTGAGCAGAGTCACCCAGGTAGCCCCTTGCAAGAATCGGGCCTTCCACCAGGAGCTCACCTACTGCACCAATAGCCTGAAGGATATTTGGGTCATCAGGCCTAGCAACATATGCTGCGCACCCAGGAACGGCAAACCCAATATTGGTGGGGCTGATGTCCTTTGAAAATGGCGGACTGATTGTGCTAGTGACACTACACTCCGATGGCCCGTAAACCTGGATGAGTTCTGTGTGTGGTGGACAGGCCCAGTTCTGAATATTTTTGGCAGTCATTGCCTCCCCACCAAGAACCATGGTTCTCATAGTCGGTAGCGTGACCGGAGTGAACATCTCAGCGAATGAAGGCGTGAGATGTGCCCAATTTGCCCGTGATATCGATGCAAATCTGGCTAGGTCCGGGTAGCTCAACCGGTCGTCCTCGCTTGGAACACATAGACAGGCACCGACGGCCAAAGTTGTCAGATGATCTTCCATACTGGTGTCAAACCCATAGGAAGCAAACTGTAAGACTCTCGAAGCGGAGTTGATGTGTATCCCATCGCTGTGAGCTTGAGCCGCATACGCATACGCTCGATGTTCCACGACGACTCCCTTTGGCTTGCCAGTAGAGCCAGAGGTGAAAATGACGTAGGCTGGGCTGTCGGGAGAAACACGTGGCAGCGGGATAGTATTATCATTTTTCGGAGAGGCCTGGTCATTATCAAGTTGGAGGACCTGGCCAGCCAAATGCCTGATTAATGGTGACTGTTGCTTCGAACAAATGATAAGTCCAGATTCTATAGAGATTCCCAACTGATGCAGGATCTCCTTTTGTCGAGTTTCTGGATTCGAGATGTCAACAGGAGCGAAGGCATTACCGCTCTTTAAGACGCCGAGAAGGGCGATGGAATACCATTTTGACTTCTCAAGGCAAAGCGCGATGAAAGCTCCAGGTCCGATGTCCCGCTTCAGAATCTCTTGGGCGACAATGGAGGCAGCTTCGTCAAGCTCTTGGTAAGTCATGTTTCCATCCCACGAGTGGATCGCCTGCGCATTAGGCTGGAGCCGGACTTGATTCTCGATCAGGTGGTGAACACAAGTCAAATGGGGACTGGGCGGCGGAGTATGTATGCGTGAGTTCCACATTACGACTTGTTGCATGTCCCAAGTGGTAATTGCGGTTGTTGAAATGACGGCAGCTTGTGCATCATCCATCTCAATCAACCTCGATAAGATGCCTGAGAAGGTATGCGAGACGTTGCTCGCCATCACCGATGATAACGTGGCCGTCGAATAGGCGAGTCGCACCCGAATATCCGAGTCCGAGTAGACAACTTTTAGCACAATATCGAAATCAGAGGCGTTATGGGATGAGATTAGCTTGAAGAAGGTCCTGCTGCTGGTGTCGGACATGGAAGGCGAGTAATACGAGGTCATGATGGTGTTGAATAGCTTCGTTTCGTTGGTTCCAAGAATCCGTTGCACCTTGCCAATAGAGAAGCACTGGTGTGGTAGCGCGTTCAGAAAGTCTTCTCTGATAGTATGGATTAGGCCTTCGAGCGACATTTTGTGTATTCCACCAACACGACAGACGAGCAAGTTCATCATTGGCCCAACGATTTGAGACACTCCAGAAATGGGCAAACTTCGCCCGGAAGAAAGGTAACCGAAGCAGACATCCGCGTCTCCCGTGTAAGTGTGAAGGACAAGAGCCCAGACAGCTTGCAGCACATTCGATATGGTCGCATTGTGCTTTTGGCAGAAGGCGCGGATTTGATCTAGACCGACATCGAGAGGCATCTCTGAGACCTGAAAGGATCCGGCACCACCCGGTTGGTTGTCGTTCATGACTGGGAACGAACATGGCTCTGTCCCGTCCAGATAGTCGATCCAGTAGTCGAGCGCACCGTCTTCGTCCGTCCGAGTCTGTAAGTAGTCGATGTATCTCCCGTATCCTGGTGCTTGGCCAAGAAGCCGAGAGCCCTGCAATCTCTTGACCAACTCATCTACGATTATCATCAATGAGCTACCGTCAACGGTCAAGTGGTTCAAGTCCATCTGAAACAAGGCTCGGCCCGGCTCTTGAACGTTGAGGTAAACTGTGACTTGGTGCTGAAGCCTCTCTTCGTCTGCGTCGAGTTGCTCAAGACTCCCATCCGCGAACTGGCGTCTTATCTCCTCCAAATCCTTCGTATAGTTGATGATCATGGCCTCTGGTTTAGACTTTAGAACGACTGCATCTAACAAGCGGCCAGATGTAGTATCCGAGGTTTCCACGTAAAAAGTTCGGAGAGTTTGATGACGGTCGATAATATCGTTCCAACTCGTTTGGAAGTGTTCCAGGTCAAACTCAGCCTGAGTCTCAAAGAGCCCCCGTGTTCGGTAAAGCCGCTTCGAGACCATCTTCTGACCAATATACATGTTCTCTTGCATTGGACTGCAAGGATAAACGTCTTCAACGGCATTGTCGCTCATGTCGTACTTCTCCCGCAGCTTGTCAAAAATCTTGGTAAAATCGTAGTCGGGAGGCATCTGCGAAAACTTGCCATCTCCCTGTCTGAGTTGTTGAGTTGAAGGACACCCAGCTTCATTGTCGGAAGCTAATGAGGCGACTTCGTTCAGGGACCTGTGGAGTAAATCTTGGAACCGGACGCTCAGGCCTTGCTCAGAGCATTTTTGGTACAGGTGAACTGCCTTGAACGAGTCTCCTGGAAAATTATAAGCACCTCCATGATCATAGAATTGAGCAAGTCCTGCGGGGCTCACCTCCGAGCGTAACGAATGAAGATGTATCATCAATGTTTTCAACCGAGATCGTCAAAATGTTGGCAATAAAAGTCCTGAGCTGATTGAAGATGACTTGCGTCCTGCCTTCCGGAACGGTTGTGGCAGCCATGAGGGGCGAAAAGTGAGATTTCGGCTTAAATAGTAACACAACTGACTTGGCTGAGGTTGAGTGTGTGCACTTTACTGGTGCCTCTAGTCAAGTACTGAGTCACTCATCAACATAGAATTGCGGCTATAATGATGGCTATCGGATACTCTGAAGTCATGACTATAGCTAGAAGTGATAGAATGGCCTGAAAGGTTTTAGCAGCCCACTGCCCAGGGTCTCCCCAGTGTGCATGGCTCTATGCTGAATTGCCGCTCACAAATTTCGAGTCCTTCTCAACATCCACCTGGCGTGCCACGCCGGACTGGCGTCGAACATGTTTCGGTCCGAACCCCAACTCTATTCCATACCAGCTGGGAACGTCAACTCACTGGTTTACATGAAAAAAGGTACTCCATGAAGAGTATGAAGCATAAAATACACGGGCTGTTCGCAAACTTGGACATTTCGAGAGCCGGTAAAGTACAAGCAGTGAAGTATGGAAAGCCCAGCGATGATGATTCTTCTCGATATCGTTATTTCCGGGCTTAGAAAAGGCGATTTAGAGCAGCCTGGGGGACCACAGTGTGCGTACCAACACAGTTGATAGAAGCGAATCGTGAATTGAAGGACTTTGCACTGTGACTTGATTTAGTGGCAGCGATCGGGACTTGATCTATACGTGCATGGTTCTGCAAACGCGACAACCCCAAACTTGACCGTACGCCGTGCCTTGAATCCTTGAATGCAACTTTGCCTGACTGTTTCTTTGATTGAAGCTCACATTTGATGTTTCGCATACAAAGTGAGTTAACCGGAGGCCGAAGCCCAACTCCCAAGACTTCAAGGATGAAAAGCTCCGGTTCTTAAAATCACGCATTGCATGAGCGCACGGCGACGTCACCCAAGCACTTCTGCTGCTAGCAGGGGGTCAAGGCAATCAAGAACAACGAGCAAATAAGGGCGCTTCATCCTCGATATCGTGTGTGCTTCTTATCTTTAGTGTCTTGAAACTGCCAGGGCGCCACGAGATAAACCTGCTTGCCCACGCATCCACCCACAGACACTGACATTCTGCGGCTCGCGTTTTGACGTATGACGAAATGAATTCAATTTGATATTAATAGCGAGTACCACTTTCTACTTCTCAAAACGTGGTTTTTTTCTCTTAGTTTTCTTTCGTAAATCAATTACTTCTCATCCAAGCCCCTCTTCACTTTCACCTGACGAGAGCATTGTCAATCATCGCAACGCCAAGGCCACTGAGGTAGTTGAGAGACCGACAATAGCAACAAAGTCGCCATCATGGGTGACCTAGGTAACCTGTTACACATTTCTTTCCACTCAACTGCCTACTGACGCCCCGGCAGGACATGAACAGCAGCCGACCCGTGAAAATGATACCATGTTTCAAGCTTTCGAATGGAATATTCCGGCAGATCAACAGCACTGGAAACGCTTGAAAGAAGCCGTCCCGAAGCTCAAAGCCATTGGAGTCGACAACATTTGGCTTCCCCCAGGTTGCAAAGCACAGTCGGCGGAGGGCAACGGTTATGATATCTACGACCTTTACGATCTAGGGGAGTTCGACCAAAAAGGTGGCAAGTCGACAAAATGGGGACCGAAAGAGGATTTGGTTGAGCTTTGCAAGACGGCAAAAGAGAATGGAATCGGGGTCTACTGGGACGCGGTGCTGAACCACAAGGCTGGAGCCGATAAGACGGAGCGGTGCCGCGTTGTCGAGGTTGACGAAAACGACCGCAACAAAGAGACATCAGAGCCCTACGAGATCGAAGGATGGTTGGGGTTTGACTTTCCAGGCCGAGGAGACAAGTACTCCAGCATGAAGTGGCACTGGGAGCACTTTGGCGGCACCGATTGGAACCAGGAGAATGAGCGGAAGGCCATCTACAAGATCATGGGCGACCACAAGGAGTGGTCTCAATCGGTTGGCGACGAGCAGGGTAATGCCGACTACATGATGTTTGCCGACATTGACTATTCACACCCGGAGGTCCAAGACGACGTTAAGAACTGGGGCACATGGATCACCAAGGAATTGGGACTCAAGGGCTTCCGTCTCGACGCTGTGCAACACTTCAGTCAGCGATACACCAACGAGTGGATCGACAACTTGCGAGATGAGTGCGGCAAAGACATGTTCATCGTCGGAGAGTTCTGGACCGCGGAAACTGAGCAGATGAAAGAGTGGCTGGAAACGATGGACCACAAATTCTCCCTTTACGACGCGCCGCTCGTCTACAACTTCAGTCAAATCAGCACAACCGAAGACGGCGATTTGAGGAAAGTCTTCGACGGCAGCCTCGTACAAGAGAAGCCCATCAACGCGGTCACTGTGGTCATGAACCACGACACGCAACCAGGTCAAACAATGGACACAAAGATTGAGGGCTTCTTCAAACCCCTCGCGTACTCCCTCATCTTGCTCCGTCAGGAGGGCTATCCTTGTCCCTTTTATGGAGATCTATACGGGATGAAGAAGGACTCGGAGCCGCCGTCTTGCGGCGGGAAGCTTGCCGATCTGATGCTTGCTCGTAAGCTCTATGCCTACGGCTCTCAGGAGGATTACTGGGACGACGCGAATTGCATTGGTTTCGTAAGGCGTGCGACCTGGGATAAACCGGACGGGCTTGCTTGTGTGATGAGCAACAAGGGCCCTGGCGAGATTCGCATGGCGGTCGGCCAGGAACACATTGGTGAGAGATGGACCGATTTGCTAGGCTGGGAGGAAGGCGAAGTGGTCATAGACGATGAGGGCTTTGGCATCTTCAAATGCCCAGGCGTCTCGGTATCTGTATGGGTTAACAAAGATGCTGCGGGTCGTGAAAGGTTCCCTACCAACTTTGATTCGAACATCTATCAGGAATAGATGGATAAATCGTAGTTGTATACTCTAGGTACTATTGGAGGCATGGTTTAGAAAGATGTTCCAATTGGATGTCTGCAAGACCCCTTTTACAGCTTGATTAATAAAACTTTTAGATTTCTGCTGAACTCAACACAGGTAGGGGCATGTTGGCTCATGCTCCATACATGAGCTTGTAAATTCATTTCGAATGAGTCTGAAAGCGACATGGAAAGATCTGTGATGTAAGAAGAACACATCACCAACTCAGGTGGCATAACATGGGCTTGCAAGCTTGAGTTCACAGAACGGTTTGGCTCCGAGTGTGGTCTCTCTCACTCACGTGAATCCATGCGACATTTCAAAATCTGGTGAGGCATTTGTTCATGCTCACTGACCTAGGTAGCTCATACACTTTTCCTTACAGTGGAGGAAGAAGTACGTTGTGGATTCACCAAGTCCTGCATTCGGACTCGGAGGCCGCGCACATTCTCGGCCCACGTGTCGCTCGCGAGGGAAATCCATCCCCGATTCCGTTAAGGACCACCGCCATAGATCGCGCCACCACAGGCACCCTGATGAGTTCTTATCTTGATTCGGATTGATTACATTTTCCCGTGACATCGTAAGTCGGCAAATAAGGGTTCAGAGGCGAATCCTTCGGGCACAATCCGTGACCGACCACAAGCCATGTTGGCCTCCATTCCCCAGGCTGCGTGGCACCCGGAACACACTCCGTCAGTTGATTTCCAAGTCTGTCTGGAATTAAACGTAGCTTCAGGAAGCCATTAGATTCCGTTACTGACTTTGATTCCTTAACTTGTGACTAAACTCTGACATGTTGCTCGGCTTGCTACATGTGGTAATGCGAAGAGCGACGGACAATCCGACAGACAGCGGAAGATCAACGTGATGTCATTCGGGTCCGGCTTCCGGGACGTTCGACAGCCACCGCCTCACCCGGGGCGCCGCTTGCATCAGTCTTGATACTCCTGGGGATTAAAGCAATTGACTCCAAGCCGACATCCATGCCTAATTGGTGTTGACGGTCTTCGTCCTTTCCAGATTCAGTGTTGGTAAGGTCGGTTGTGCTGGCTTAAGCTCAGACCGGCGTAGTCCAGCGTGGGGCTCGTCTTAGGTCTAGATATTGGAGGTAAATCTGCTGGGGAAAAGCCAATGAAGTTGGCCATGTGTCAAGGCTAAGTCACACAGTTGTTTAGTTCAACATTTTGCCAGGAACCAGCGTCACCGAATCAAGATCGAATATGGTTGTAAAGCACCTGGACGCTTCTGAGGCGGCAGAATAATTCAGGCGAAACTCATGAAGCAAAGATTGAAATTTCACCACACCGCAAGCTTTGAAGGAACCACGGGTAAGACATTAGTGGAATAGCGACCCGGTAGCGACCAGCAACCCGGTTGGACTCATTTCCTTCACAGCGCCAGGGAGCCGAGCAATTCATCGTCGAAAGTTATATCCGATTCGGGTGGTCGTAAAAAGCATAAGCATCTAAGATCCTTCCTCAGCCTCCTTCTCAAGAAGCTTGACCCTGACTGGAGGGGCGGGAGCATCGGGAGGCTGCCAGCAGTGCACCATGACAAACAGAAAATGTCAAAAAATAGCACACCAGACTGACCAGACAGCGCCAGCAAGGCACCCAAATGGAAGCCTGCGCGCTCCCCTGTAAGCTGCAAGCCAAGCCACCATACTTGATGGGAGCCTAAAGCGGTCTAGGGCACTGACATCCCCGTGGGAAACCCGACCATGGCGCCCTCGAAAGATCCTCGTTATTATTCATTTAATCATTTTTGATGAGCTGTTTGGATGCGTGGGGATACGGCTTTGCCCTATGAGGCCCATAGCGCGAGGATCTTGCTGTTGATCCAATGTTGCTTCCGAAGTTCAGGTTTTCCTTGCAGCCGGATCTCTGAATTTCCGGTTCTGACATCCGCCCCAGCGCGTATTCGGCTCTCGCGACGAATGGCCTATTTAGCCTTTGAGCACTTTTTAGACGCCAGCTGTGAAAGAGACCATGATGTCACTTCAAGTTGCGTGATCTTTATTGAGCCTCCCTACCTTCACTGGAAGCTCTTGGTCATTGGGATCAGGCCCTAGGCCTTCCACTGACTCGAGTATTCGACCATATTTGTAGAATGG